CTGTCCGCTGGGCTGCACTTGTCGATGTCAAGGGCGGGAATATCCCTGACCGCCGAGGACTCCAACATAGTTGGAGATATGTCGGCGTTGGCGACGGACATGTTTGAAGTGTTTGGGGGAACGTCGGTAGAGCTGTGTGTCAGTGACACAGCTCGGTGAGGTTCCGGCGAGTCAGAAGGAAGGTTGGTGAGATTCTGAAGGTTAATTGCATGAATCGACGCCGCAGAGGAGAAAGAGAGACACAGCTCCCACCATATAAACAATCAAAATTTAAAGTTAAATCCAATTTTTTTTATGCATAAAAAGTTTTAATAACTAATATTCTTCATGCTGATGCAATATTTAGGAAAGTTTTTTATTTGTAGATCCCAATATTTTGGTATTAAAATATGTATAATGGAACAAATTAGTGTACTTATTTTCATTGATTAAACTAAAAAAAAAAGTGAAATTAGAGAGAATAAAAAATATTAAAATAAAAATAAAATAAAAAAATAAGTAATATAATGAGTCAACATGATGGGAATTCAATTGAATGGATTGAATTAGTTTGGAATCCAAACTTTATATTATATATAATATAAAGTAAGTGAATTTCTTTATCATATTATTAATATCAATGTAAAATATGGAGAATTTTTTAAATTGATAATTTTTATATAATTTTTGAATAAAATAAAAGGAAAACTAAAAAACAAACCAAACAAAATTTTATAATTTAATCCTAGGATATTATTAAATATCTATTATCTTCCAAATTAAGCTTATACAAAAAGCTAATTAAAAAATAATAATAATAATATATATATTATTATTATTATTATCAAATATTTTTATTTCATTCTAAGAGTTTTTAAACTCGTTTTATTATCAATTGGTTTTGAAATAAAACTACGTATAATCTCTTGATATTAACCAATAAGTTATACTCATGTTGATAGACTGGTATTATTTGACAGACTGATATTATTGAATTGTAGATGATGCAATTAATATTTTATAATATAAAAAAGAATAAAAGTTCTAAAATGTTTTGAATGGTTAAAATTGTCGATGAAAATTAATACTCACTTTTCGGTAAAGATAAAGGGAAGAGGAATCAAACAAGGTGGTCAAATGCAAATGCTTTTACCCAACATATCAGGTGCCTCCAAGGTGACATGTTTATAGTTAATTGTTCTATTAAATTAATGCCTAGTTAATTATGAGTAAAGCTCGAGGCTGATTTAGTCATATTCGTCACTAATTTACCGTACATAACCACGGTTATTTACGAAAAATGTTTTAGCCCTCGAAACATTTTGAGTTAAGGTGTGAGATCCTATATCGATGGGAGAGAGGAGTGAAACATTTCTTACAAAAGTGTGAAAATCTCTCCCTAGTATGAGGTTGACAACAATATTTAAAAGGTCAAAATATACCATATTTACTAGCGATAAGCTTGAATTATTACAAAATGATATTAAAACCAGACACCAAGTTGTGTGTCAACGAAGACCGAACCTTATTATTATTACTACGGATGGCGTGGATTGCCCACACAAAAGGCATTACTTTACTGAGAAAAGAAAAGGATGGCTAAAAAGGAGCCAAACGAAAGTGAATGAATGTAGACTTGTTTCAGGGAGAATTAAAAGATAAATAATAATAATAATAGTAATAAAATTAAATAATAATAAATAAAAAAAGCTGATTTTGGCACATTCCATTTTTTTTTTTTTATGATCTAAAAATTAGAATATTTGATCGGTTGGTCGATGACACATAGTTGACTTATACTTAAATTGACCCCATTTCAGACTTTAAACTCAAAGTGATAGATCGGGGGAGCAAAATCATGAGTCTATAAACCATCGATCCTTATTAAATTATCATATTTGATCCACTAAACCCACTACACCACAGTTACAAACCCTGGTACGTTGTATCGGGACACTTCTTATAACATTCTTTCCTCTTTTCATTCTCTCCCTTTCTTTTTTATTCAAAAGAATATTGAATACGCGTGTAAATTGAATTGAATTGATCTATAATTAATATTTTATTTATTACGAAAATTTAATAAAGTGGAGGCTACTTTTTAATTTAAAATATTTTTAAGTAGCACTTTGATTTCGTCGTTAACCCATTTAGCTTTTAAATAAAATATAATTATTTTAGAGTTTAACATATGTCATTAACCATTCATAATATTGCAAATATTTGATAATGTTAAAAAAATTATATTTTATTGAAATTAGCAACCAACTATAATATTAAATACATACTTTCCCACCCACAAAATAATAATAATAAAAATAAAAATGAGCTTGAGCCAAAAAAAAATAAAATAAAAAAAGCCCAAGCCCAAATTGGGCTGTACTCAAAAGTGGGCCGTGGGCCATTTTTTCTCCACAATCCAACAGCCCGTTTGAGGGTTGAGATGCATTTAGAAGAGCCTCACTCCAAACAGCCCATTACCGAATTCAACTACATGGTTTGTGAGATGGGTTCGTCAACTACCTCCTATAGATGGCGAGCAAGCTAGCAGTCACCATGTTGTCCCTACTTGTTAGTGAGTGTTCGTTGAGGTAGTACCTCAACACCAAATATTAAATACCACTGCATAACCTAAGCTAGTTACTCAAGATTGTGAACAACAAAAACAATAGACTTAGAAGCTAGTGTAAAACTCGTAATCACCTGCTAAGTCATAGATGTTACGAGAGCCTACAAGTAGATTGCTGATATCGTCCGCTTTAGTCTATTACATATCGCCGTCAATTTCACCGTTTTAAATACGTCTGCTAGTGAAAGGTTTTCACTCTTATAAATAATGTTTCGTTTTTCTTCCAACCAATGTGAGATTTCACAATCCACCCCCTTCAAAGCCCAACATCTTCATTAGCACACCGCTCAGTGCCTACCTCTAATACCATTTGTAATAGCCCGATGTCACCACTAGTAGATATTGTTTGTTTTGGCCCGTTACGTTTTGAGATCCCACATTGGTTGGAGAAAAGAACGAAGTATTCATTATAAAGATGTGAAAACTACTTAACATATACATTTTAAAACTAAGAGATTGACGAAAATACGTAATAGACTTAAGTGGAGATACTAACGGTGTCCTCAAGCCGTTAAACCTAAGCTTATGTCGAGCAAAATTTTTGAACTGACAACAATAATAAAATAATCTTGCATGGCAAAAGGAAATGGCCCCCACCCCCATCTTAATAAACACGTTTGTCAATTTCCCCTCTTTGTCGGGTTCATTTCATTACCTTTTTTTTTTTCTTTCTTTTATTATAATCCACATATTCCCCACCCCATTTTATGAGGTCCTAATAAACACATCACATGTCACGTCATCAATTTTCTCTGTTGGATGCCACGTTAGCTAATTTTTTAATTATGATTTGGGCCCTCTTCAATCATCATTTTATTTTCCTTTACCCAAATTTGCAGTCAAAGTTCTAAAAATTGAAAAAAATAAAAAATAAAAAAAATAATCTTTTTAGACATATTTAATTAAAAAAATTATTTTAGTTAATATTCTTCACTTATAAACACATGATCTTTTTCTCCTCTTCAAAGCATCAATCGGCGGAGTGACTTCTTTCTTTGAGCATAAGCTCTCATGGCTTTGCTTTGGACTTTCCAAAAGGCCTCATACCAATAGAGTTAGTATTCCTCACTTATAAACCCATGATCATTCCCTAAATTAGCCGATGTGGGACTTTCATCATCCAACATACTGAACTTATATTCTTACGAATATTTGTAATTAGTCACGCAAGCGTTGTTTCTTACTACAAGATGAAACTATATTTTTAATAAACTTAATATATTTTTTTATAAAAAAAATGTGGGATTTATTAGTAAGTTAATATATTTTTTTTATTCTAACTCGGGAATAAAAATAAAAGATGAAATTATCAACTTTTATGATAATAATATTAACTAAATATAAATTAACACGAAGCTTACCTTTTTTTAAGTAGTTTTTAAAAAAGCTTTCTCTATTTATTTAAACCATATTTTATTGTATAATTGTTGAAGCCATGATAAATCAGTACAATGGGCTTTTTCCACTTGACGTTAAAAGGAGTGGCATGAGCCAGATAATAAATTCATTGTTTGGGGGCATATATGGAAATTATAAAGCTGTTCGGATCTATTATGATATAGTCACCACGGGCTCAACCAACCTCTTTTTCTTGTTTTGACAAATAGGAAAGTTCGGTGTATAATTCGAATATCACAAAGATTACGGGCACCGATCGATCATAAAACCCTGTTCAATAAGTCGAACACATTAGAATTACAATAGAGTAATAAAATTGAGTAATTTTCTCCCATAAGATGTAGTTTATAAGAACTCAAGTCTCGTTTATTTCATAATAACGTAAGATTCTAAGCATCTCTGTTATCACTTTTGAATTGTAGTAATATTCCTCTATTTTAAAGATGTTTTGATTCGGGTTGAAGAGATGAGGTTTTTAACTATTAGCCACCACTCTATTTTTGCATATAAAATGTACGAGAGACTACACTGACATCTTCTTCGACTACATCGACCAACTATGAACAAAATGAAATCATTTATAAAAAAAAATATATAAGATCTTAAATCGGTATGAGCTGGTTATTTAGTGACTAGGGTGGTGGCGACGTTGATGAGGATAATTAAAGTACATTAGGTTTGGCTTTCGAATTTTTAAACTGTGGGGTCACGTCATCTTCCACATAAGCAAAAGAAGTTGATAGGTGGAGTCCTCGTCATCAAATTTTTATCATGTGAGTGCCACATCAGCAAAATTGTGACCATCGATCACACAAAATGCCACATCACCAGCCACATAACTTTTTTATTTAATGTCGGATTTAAATGAATTAAAACATTAATTACAAAAACACTTCAAAACTAAATAACAATTAGCATTAATTAATAAAATATAGAATTTATTCGATAATTATACAAATCGTTGTGAAAGGATAACCATATCTCAGAAGAGAGGAAGCTTTTGAGTGTTATCTTCTGCCATTTTTCTGTTCCGTTCCGTTTTCATGGAGGATGGAAGGAGAGGAGAAGAAGAAGATCCTCGACATCCACAGTGGTGTCTCTTCAACGCGTACTTATCTTGCGACGCGTGTCGATTTCCCCTTCCAATTTCGTCTATAAATCCGGAGCTCCCGCTACGAGCGGTGAGCACCGCACCAGTTGAGAGATCGAGAGATTCAGAAAGCGGGAACATCTTTCTTTTCTCTTCCTCCATTTTTTTCTATTTTTGCGCCTTCTTCTTCCATCTTCCTTCTTGGATTTTGTTTTTTTCGTCTCTGTTTGGGAAAAATGTTCATCGATAGCTTCAAGGTCGAATCCCCCAACGTTAAGTACACCGATCATGAGATTCATTCCGTCTACAATTACGAAACTACAGAGCTCCTTCACGAGAACAGAAATGGAACCTATCAATGGATTGTCAAGCCCAAATCCGTTCAATATCAATTCAAGACTGACATTCGTGTCCCCAAATTAGGGTTTGTTTTTCCTTCTCAGTCCGTTTTTTGCTCTCTTTTTTTACCCTAACTTTTGAATTTCATAGGATGATGCTCGTTGGATGGGGAGGAAACAATGGATGTACTCTCACTGGAGGCATCATAGCCAATCGGGAGTAAGTTTTTCTTTCTCCATTTTGGATTTGACTTTTTGGGATTTTATTATTTCTTAATTGAAATTCTGCCCAAAAGAATGTCTTCTTGTTGTGTAGTGAATATAATAATGTTGTTGTATAGTTTCTGAAAGTGGATGATGGGTACTCTTTTTCAGAGGGATCTCTTGGGCAACCAAGGATAAAGTTCAGCAAGCCAATTATTTTGGGTCGTTAACCCAAGCATCCTCCATCCGGGTTGGCTCTATTGATGGCGAGGAGATCTATGCTCCATTTAAGAGCCTCCTACCCATGGTAATAATCATATATCTGTTTTCAATTCATTGAACATTGATGGGTTTGTGATATAGTGATTACATAATGATTTTGAACTTAGCTTAGCAAAATGATTCAAATCTCTCCCAGGTCAATCCTGATGATATTGTGTTTGGAGGGTGGGACATAAGTGACATGAACTTGGCCGATGCCATGGCCAGAGCAAGGGTCCTTGATATTGATCTGCAAAAGCAGCTGAGACCCTACATGGAATCCATGGTCCCACTTCCTGGAATCTTCAATCCCGATTTTGTTGCTGCGAATCAGGGCTCTCGAGCCAATAACGTTATCAAAGGCACCAAGAAAGAACAACTCCAGCAAGTCATTAAAGATATCCGGTATATATTTTACAGTTTATGTCATTCAAACATTAAAGTTTTCAAGTTTTCATAATCTTTGACTGCATATTATATGTTTTCCTAAAAGTGAGTGAGCTATGTGGGATCATATGGGGGCAGCTGCTGTACTTTCAGTCGTTTTATGCTTTCAAAATATCTTCAATCAGGACAATATATATGCTTGCGAGGAATCTAGTTTTACTCGTTTGAAAACTTTGTAATTTATTAGGGAATTTAAGGAAAAGAGTAAGGTGGACAAAGTTGTAGTGCTGTGGACTGCCAACACAGAGAGATACAGTAATGTGCTTGTGGGGCTCAATGACACAATGGAAAATCTTCTGGCTTCTGTGGACAAAAATGAGTCGGAGATCTCTCCTTCCACACTGTATGCAATTGCTTGTGTTCTTGAAAATGTCCCTTTCATCAATGGTAGCCCACAGAACACTTTTGTCCCAGGTATCATCCTTTCTTCGCCTCATAAAACTTGCTACTTTTTTACTTCGAATTCACTCAACTTTGTGGGATTTGTTGACAGGGTTGATTGACTTAGCCATTCATAGAAATAGTTTGATTGGAGGGGATGATTTTAAGAGTGGTCAGACCAAGATGAAATCTGTGCTTGTAGACTTTCTTGTTGGTGCTGGTATTAAGGTACCTCATAATTCTTTACCAAAGGGTTATAAAATTTTGGGTATTCTAAAATATATGCTGTGGGCTTTTGGTGGCAGCCAACATCAATAGTGAGCTACAACCATCTAGGAAACAACGATGGAATGAACCTGTCGGCCCCTCAAACCTTCAGATCCAAGGAGATATCAAAGAGTAACGTTGTCGATGACATGGTCTCGAGCAATGGCATTCTTTATGAGCCAGGCGAGCATCCTGACCATGTGGTGGTCATTAAGGTATAATCATTTAAGTTTCCTGAAATCGAAGTATTCGAAGATGGAATTCAAATATCTTGGATATGAACTGTCATATATATTGAGTGTAATTTTGTTAAATCCTCCTCCCTGGTTTTGAAATGGAAAATTTCAGTATGTTCCATACGTGGGGGACAGTAAGAGGGCGATGGATGAGTACACTTCAGAGATATTCATGGGTGGAAAAAGCACCATAGTGTTGCACAACACCTGCGAGGACTCTCTGTTAGCCGCTCCGATCATACTCGATTTGGTTCTTCTTGCTGAACTCAGCACTCGCATTCAAATCAAGGCTGAAGGAGAGGTGAGTTTGATCAAATTCACATAACAAAAACCCAACCCGTTGTCTGTTTTCCATTTTGAAATGAATCTAAACAAGTGATGAAATGGTTTGTTTTGTAGGGAAAGTTTCACTCTTTCCATCCAGTGGCCACCATCCTCAGTTACCTTACAAAAGCTCCTCTTGTAAGTTTATGCACAACCCCATCTGAAACCTTGAACTTTCATTTGATGATTTGAGTATATTTCTGAATCCAAAAATGGTTGTAAATGGTGAAAACAGGTACCACCAGGCACGCCTGTGGTGAACGCTCTTTCGAAGCAGCGCGCCATGCTGGAGAATATAATGAGAGCTTGTGTTGGGTTGGCACCTGAGAACAACATGATTTTGGAATACAAGTGAAGCCTGAAAGAGTCCTGAGTTTAATAGGAAATTGGTTATCTTTTCTATAAGCTTGTGAAAATATGCAATTAGTTTCTGTTTGGTCCTTTCTCCTCTTTTTTGGTTTGTATGTCCTCTTTTTATTTTCGGCTTGGGGAAGTTGTTTATTAGTGGGCAAGCCATGTCTGTAATGGAGCTATACATATTCTAAAAATAAACTAGCGTTCTTCAATGTAACGACCCAACTTTTCACTCCTACACGTATTTTCACTCCTACACGTAGACCGCTACTTAAAAATAAGGGACAATTACATAGTTTCGTAGTCACACATCTTCAGGACACCCTTGTCACCAATCAAACAACGATGAGTGAACCATAGGTGATGATCTAAATTCTCTCTTAGGTCGTTAACTATAATCATATTAAGATTAAAACTCGAATTACTCTTCTAAGATATTTAACAGTCAAAGAGTATTATTTCTTCCTCACACACATGTGTACACTTTCGTCCCAGCTTCTTATGCATTTCTCTGGCGAGCGTGTTTAAACTCCTATCGTTTTCAGTTTCTTAGATCGAATAATTGTAACACAGTACTATAAACTTAAAGGTGATGATAATAGAGACCTATTGACAGTCAATATAAAGGAAATTGACCCGAGAAGATGATGGAGATATAACTAAAAGTAATTCCCTTTCAAACACGTGATTAATGTTGTGTTTGATTATGGAATTGAAAGGTTGTGGGACAACCCAATAATCAAATGGGCTTATATTTAACACCACAAAATGGCACCAATAATTTGGATGAAGAAGACAAATTCCATTGGCCAACACTCACAGTAAAAGGATTCCATTGCCCTTGATGTGACTCTAACCTTATCTCCAAACTGTTTGGAATAGTGTAAATCGTGTTCTTCATTATATTATGCATTTGGTTATGGTTTCTTTGGACTTTCATTTCAAACCTAAAAGGCACGATCACGTGAAGTTATTCGCTCGATAAGTTACAAATAAAGATCGATAACCGGTTGCTTTTGTATACTCGTATACGTTAAGATTTGATTTAGAAATGTAATTCGATGTCTCAAATAACTTGAATTACCCATTTGAATGGTAAGAGTTCAGTTGGTTTTAATTTTTTTATTCACACGACCAACTTACAAATAAGGTTCACAATTCAACCAAATTCAATTCTATCCTATTTTTAAAATTGTTACACAGATAAAAATATTTAACATTTATATACGATGAGTTATTAATGTGATATGTCTTAAACTCTATTTGGGTCATCTGAGTCCTAACCCAACAAGTTCGAACTAAACCGGATGCGTGTAGACTATGATTATGATTATTAGTTTGATTGAATATTTTGTTGATTGAATTATTAAATGGGCCGAAATCAGCCCATCACTTAAAACAAAGCCCAAACGTGTCGATCCAAATAAATAAAGGGCCCAAAGCTAACCCAAGTTGTTTGGAGGGAAATACGATTGGTTTTGATTTAGTTATTTGAATTAGATTTGATTTATGTAAAGCTATAAAATAGTCAATTTCATTCTCAAGTTTATATATATACAATTAGTTTTGTACTTTAATATACATATAAAAGATGGGTAGAACGGGGATTGAAGTAGGACCAAGACTAAGGACAAAGAATGCAATCTCGTAATTGACTTCATTTGGCTAACGGGTAAAAATCATTTCCTACCCACAACTCCACTCACTGTCAAAACGAAAACTCTCCATCCCGTTCAAAGTAGGTCCCACAAATAAAATAAACATCTCTAATAGTATACCGTTGATAAATTTCGTGTTTCGTAATCTTAAATTCTTGGTTTAGATAAACAAATACAATACGACTCGGCTCGGACTACGTTGATTTAATATTAGATTATCAAATTTTATATTATACTTGGTGTGAATATGATTAGAAAACTAAGCATATGGGACCCTTTTGCCCCGTTGATTTTGGGGTTACCCTACTCCCTTATAGCTTCAATCATTTAATTTCATAATCATATAATTCAAACCCAATCACTGTCTCTTGCCCTACAATAATTTACCCACTCCCTCCATTATTTCTGCACTTCCAAACCCTTACAAAATTACACACATCCACACCATGCAAACATTCCCATTACAAAAATCCCGACCTCGGGTCCTGATTCTATTCCTTTACGTTCTCTCGACTTCACCTAAATTCTTATAATCGTAACGTTTTTTTATTTCATCTCTATACTTTTGTTAAATCAAATCAAATTAAAACTCAAACCAAATCGAAAAATAAAAATGCATATATTTTTAAAGAAAGACGTGCATGTCAATTTTTGGTTCATAATCGTACAAACAAATATAATAGTTGGAAACCCATTTAAAATCCGCTGCCACAATCTGACCTTTCTTTATGCCGGCCGCCACCGCCGCCGTGGCCGGTGGTGGTGCCCTTTTCTTTTGTGAAATCTTGTTCCATCTTCTTCTCTCTGCACTCAGCACTGCAAAAAGCTGTATCTCCCCTACACACAAAACTCAATTTTAAACAATAATTTAAACCAATAAAATAAAATAAAAATAAAGCTTGAATTGATGAGTTATTATTAACAAAACCCATTAATTTTTTTTGGGGAAAGTATTGAAATTTAGGAAAAAAAAAAAAAAAAAAAAAAAAAAAAAAAAA